ACTTTTGTGTCGGTTAGTATGTGTGGAGACTTTTTAAATTGGAAATCTCCAATAATAAATACGGTCATACGGAATAAATACCAAGCCGGGATTATGAAATTAATTGATAAGTAATGTGATCTGAAATCTACGAAAAAGTCACCTCAGCAGCATTTCAAAATAGTTTTCCTAAGGTCGGAATGGGGAAACGAGACGCGAAAAGTTACGGCTCCCCTCACCTATACTATAAATGAGGGATTTTTTTCTAGATTTTAGGAACGTTGAATATATAACTCATGAAGGTATTAAAATTTTTTTCCAAATTAATAATTTTTGGTTATATCGGGAAGTTAAAGCTAAAATAGTTTTCATTAAAAATAATATTTTTTATAGTGATTAGACTTCACATGGGTTAGGTTAGGTTAAGGCGTCGATTCTAAAAAAATTTACCTTGGACAGCTTAAAACGATGGCCCGTTGTGATACCTTAAACTCATACATAATTGATCATTTAAAACCCTCTTAAAATCGACAAATTTGTTTAGGCGGCTAATGTCCGTTTCAGCTATGTCTTCTGGTTTGCCGTAGGTATGACTGCCGAGATGTTTCAACCTCGGTCTTGCAAAAGCTGGAAAAGCATGAATATTTCTACATCAACTTCACCCATACAACTTTCACGATTTGCGTTCGACAAGATTTTAAGTCTTACCGCAAGAATGCCTATTGGACAATGTCCAGTAAGAACTCATATGATTGCGGTAAGATGAACTTTAATGAGGACAAAGTAGATTTCCTGCGTTCTACTCTAGGCCAAAAAGATCTCGCAATCGCACAGAAGCTGGTCTTCGACTAAGGTGCTAAGCGCAGGAGATATCTAGGTTCAGTGTTAGATCTAATAGGTCAGTAGCGACATATCGCAGAAGGGTATACCTTTTAGTCTGGTCGAACTGAAGATATCTTTTGTTTATTATTATCATGAAACTGTCATATTAGCAGAACCGCTAAGAAGTCACAAAGTGTATTCACATTCAAACAAAGGTCCGACCTTCGGCCACCAGCAGTAACTCTTTCAACCGATAAATAGAATAAAAAGAACAACAATAAATTAACAAAAGGCCAAAGGGGCTTTATCGAATTTGTTATATTGCAACACTGCAAACCGCAAAACTGTAATAAAGCTGACAATAAAAAGCTCACAAAATCCAAACAAGTGGGCTCCGAAACGAAACCACAAAATCTCATTGAAGATAGCCCAAACATTGTGCCAAAGCCGAGACCGGTCCGCAACAGCGTGGTGTGTTTACTTCTTGTTTGTGTGATTATGGCCTCTCGCCCTCTCTCATCGTGGCAAGTCAAAAAACCAAAAAAGAATTCAGACGCTTTGCTACACCTAAAAAATTCTGAGGTTCGGCAAAAATGAGTATCAAAACAAAAACACAAAGCAACAAGCGCAAATAAAACGAAAGTAAATATAAACTGAAACGAAATAGGAAAACACAAACAAACACACAGACACGGTGGCAGTCAAAACACACCAAAGCACACAACTGTTGCATGCGCTACTTTGTTGTTGGTGGCGCTGTGACAGCAGCATAAGTAGCAAGCGCTAGCAACAATTTACATATATACATGCAAACACAACCGTTTGTACTCTATTCTGGTTGCGTTGTTGTTGTCGCATGTTGCATGCTGCTACCCGCCATAGTGAGACAGCTTGCCACCTCTATTCCGCTCGCAGCACCGTCACCACCATTCGACTTCCAAAGGCATATAGATACACACATGCGCACATCTACGAGTATTTACATATGTTTTGCCATTCATGCGCTCAGGTGCTGTACTGCGTGCTGCATATTCATCCGTCCCTTGTGCAGCCGTTCTGACATCTGTGACTTCGAAAACGACGAAAAAAGACACAACAACAAGAGCGAAGTCTTATTTAAATGTTAAAGTTTGGTTTGATACTTAAATGTTGAATGCGAAAAATGCATGAATGGCACACAATTACTATTCATTTTGCGCACTTTGCATGTTTCGAGAATTTTTTTTTTCCGTTTTTGTTTCACTCATTCAGTACTCACTAAAGGAAGACCGGATTTGAAGGCGAAAATCGTAAAACACTTAGAAGTGCTTAAAAGGCGTTTTTCTTTTCAGAACATTTTTTTGAAGTGTGTGTTTAAGGGGGTATTCTGATTTATAAGTTTACGCTCTTTTTTGGATCTGATAAAAAAAAAATATTTTTACCATACATTTTTTTAAAATGTTTTTTATTGATATTTAAAGAGTACAAATCATTTTAAATTCAAAAAATTCCATGTCGGCAAAGTGGGGACTAATAAAAAAATGGCGTGTCCTGGTGTGCAGGATAGCAGGATTCCCAGTAACCCGAAATTGTTGAGTGATCCTTAAGCGGGAAGGATGTAGTTATAGCACTACGAGAAGGTTTTAGAAAAAAAATATATAAAAGAATCTTCTAGTAGTGCGATAGTATAATGTATAATATAAAGAAACTCTGTATAAAATTTCAAGTAAATCGATTGAGTCGAACTTGAGATACCATATACACCGTTTATAAAAAAATAGTTCTGAGAAAAACGACTTTAAATCTCCGCCGAGCTGCCAGTCGCTTTTGTCGTCGCATCACAAAATGAGCTGTAACTCCGAAAATAATTGAAATTTCAAAACACCTTTTTAGGACATATTCTTAGAGGGTTATACTACAATAATAGAATCGAAAAAAATAAATAAATTTTTTAAATTTCTAAACCAGAATACCCTCTTAAGGCACAAGGTGATATGATAACGTAAGCGGAACTACATATAGCTATCAAAAATCATCCCTGAGAATCAGCATTTTACGTTTAGCTTAGTATGAAGCCATATTATAGGTTCGGATAGAGAAATGTTTTCAAGTATTGCAGTTAGTAAAAGTTGGTCTTAATATACCACACACAGAAATAAATGGGATATATGGTATAAGTTACCATTGATTATTTCATTTCAACGATCAGCAAAGTTCAATTATACTCTTAGAAGTGTCAAGCCCGTAAGAATGATCCCTCCTCGGATATATTATATATTTATACAATATGAAACTAGTTCGCTGATATGTGCTTTGAAGTATTTTCAAATTCCTTTCATTTAATAACAGTATTGTAGTATTTAATTAATTTGAATACAAATTTTAAAAGAGTTGGCAACACGTTTACAAATAAATCTGGAATGGAAAATTTTCTTAAACCTTAGTTGGTTAGTGGTAAAAAAATATTTAATTTCACTTTTATTAAATTTATACTTGTATAATAAAAAAATTTAACCAGGTGACAACGTTACTCAATTTTTTTTTTAACTTTCAGCTTTTTTAAATCTCTGCATTTTGATATCTATATTGCAAAAGTTCATTTATTTTATATAAAATTACAATTTTAAATAGATGGCAACTCTGTTAAAATATTTTTAACTGCTAACTTATGTATAGTTCTTTTATCTTATAATTTTTTTGTATAAATCTCTAAAGTAGGTGACAACCTTGGAAACTGTAGCCTTAAAGTATTGCATTGGACAATCCAAAATCGGTTTAGGTAACTGTAGTGAAGATGATTCGAGGTGGGCATATAATCACAAACATGTTCGTTAAGTCATCCAACTGTTTATAAAGCTGGCGATTTCTATTAAATTTCTGTGTGCAAACTTTTTAGATTTACAAAAATAATAAAAATTAAATAAAGACAAGTGTCTCAACGCTCAAGTAAATAATAAATGATCTAAAATTGACTTCAGATTTAGATCGAAAGAACGTTATCTTCAGCTGCACCAAAGCTTTAATACCCTTCACAGTTGCATTTTTTATAGCATAAAAAGGTATATAGAGAAAATATCTTGATTTTGAACGATACGTTTGAATAACAAATATAACCTACCGTGGTACGATATCGGCGGTCCTGACAAATGAGCAGCTTTTTGGGGAGCAAAATTTCACATCGATATCACAAAAAACTTCGGGTGTATGTTGACAGACGGAAATGCTAAAACAACTCAGCTCGTCATACTACATATAAATATACCTATGTTTTATACCGTCTCCGATTCTACAGTGTATAAATATACGTATGTATGGGTGTGTTGGTCGGTGTTCACAACTCTAATTTTATTTCAAATAATTTCCGCTTTCATTTCATTTCAAATTGAAATTCCTTCAGCGACATAAGTGTGGCGAATTTCGCAGTAAATGCGGCAGCACGTTCAACTCTAATGTAGGAAAGTTTCAATTTCTTTTCTGTTAGAAACCAAAGACCAAAAGCAAACCGAATAAACCGCCGTGCAATTTCCAAGCATAAAAAGCTTCAACTCAATAAAGCGAAACAAATGACAACGGACAAACCAAGCACAGACACAACTACAAAAAAAAATGAAATAGTCAACAATAAAACCATAACAACAACAATATTATGGCAACCAACAATAGTGCCATCAACACATCAACAACACCAACGACTTGGGCAGCAGCAAAAATGTGGTGGCTAAACAACAGCAGATAACCTGCAACTTACAAATCGCTCATTGCCGACTGTTAGCATTTGCCAGCGATAGCTATAATGCCAGCGCCATAGTCAGCGACAACGGCAGCGCAAGCGCCGGCTCACACAAAGTCGATCAACATGGTAAGCACGAATGCGCTGCGTCAAGCGCTCACACGCTCATTCGCTTAACTTCTGAACGCTTGCTTGTTTTTGCTTTTGCTCCGGCTGTGCTTCATTTTATAGCGTTAAGTTCAACTGTCGGCGCGCTTAGTTGAGTATGTGAACCAACTTCAAAATCTACAACCTCTTCAACGCTTTTGGCCAAAGCGCGACCACACCACAACGCGTCGCACCAACAATACCCCACCGCTCTGCGCTCTACAAACTTCTGCACTCAGTGGCAAATGGCGAGCGACCGCAGCAGAGCGATCGCTGTATGGGGCCTCCACAAGCGCTTGCTTCGAGTTGGGCTTTTCAGTTTCTTACAGTGTGTCAGCGCGGATGGCAGTGCTGCCGTCTTCATTTGCAATACAAATTTGTGTTTGTCGACGCTTCTACGTCTTCATATGCTTTTAAGGTGTGTACAAGCATACACAGCATAAAAATATGTTTGCATATGTCTGCATATATTTACGTAATTACAAATCCAAAGCGTTCGCAACCCAACCGCTCCGCGCTCATTAGTGTTGAACAAATTGAAATGTGCTCGGGCGCGCGCGCGCTCTAATCGTGTAAGAATGCATATCAACTGAAACGTACTACAAATGGAAATGCATATGCGCATGTGTGAGTGTGTGAACTGCTTAGTGAAATAGAGTAAAAAGAGTAGGTAAAAGGTAAAATAACAACACGGAAAAAAGCACGTTGCCGCGCCATACGATTTCAATGTAAACGTAACAGGTGTACCAGCGCTGCTGGCGTTCGACTGTTGTCGTTGTTTTTATTGTTTGTGCTGTTATTATGATTGTTCGGGTTTTTTGCATTTTTTGTTTTTACCTCATCGACATCGACTGGCATTGTTATTGTGAATGTTTTGCGGGTGCTGATCGACGCGATTAGAAACGGCGCGGCCGCGTCTTGGCCGCCGCTTAGCCAAATGTCATGCCGCGCCATGAGTTGTGTGGCTGGCCGCATAGCCGCCTAGCTACAGCGCGGTAATTTGCTTAACGCGCATGTGTGTGTGCGTGTGACAAGCAACGCACCAATATAACCGTTGCTAAATAACTGTGCTGTTGAGTGCTTTTTAAGCTACGATTATGAAACCGTAATAGTGCAACAGTAACAACAAAACCACAACAACAACAATATAAACCACATTGGCTGTAACAAATATGAATATACTACAGCGAGAATGAGAAGTTCACAAATCAAGATCGCAAAATAATGTATATACCCACGTAACAAAAGCAATAAACAATGAAAAAGCGACAGTAGAAATTAAATAAAAACGAAATACAATGGAATAAGTAAAAGCAGCAGATACTGCTCTATAATTTATAGAACCACACATACATATATGGGCATAACATACATATCAACGCATCTGTCATAATAGTGGGAATAAGTTGTTCACAAAACTATTAATCTTTGGCTCAATGAAATGGATGAAGTGAATACAAAACAGTTGCAAGACACATTCTATATATATATATTTATATAAAGCAATTACGTAAACAGTTAAGCAACATAAAATGCAGAAATATAATATTATATAAATATTAGCCCTTATGACTTTAAGTACATAGTTTCCACGTAGAGTTTTAAACGAGAAGAAAGCTTTAACAAAAATTTGACTATGTGCATAGCTGTATTGTCAATAAGAAATGTTTTCTCCATGTGTTTTATAGATTTTCTCAAATAAACAGGTTCGAAAAACTTGAAATTTCAGCAAGTTTTTGAGTTGATAGGATAGAAACTATTTCTCTTAGCACACATCCTCTCCATTTGCTTTATGTTCCTTTTCATATGCGCTTCATGTATGGTCTATTTATACTCGTACATTTCGTGGTAATCATTTTTTGGTCTTATCGGTGAAACATACAAATCTGTTCTCGGTTACAATTTCAAAATTTTCCATTCTTATTCATAAGTAATTTCATTTTGATATATTGGTATTTTCTTTAAGCACAAATTAAGAACAAACTTAAGTCGGTTATACTTAGTCCTGCCATAAGTTCTATTACAAAATCAGGCAGTTATATGTAACTATAATATATTTTGTAAAAAAGTTAATTTTATTTAATAATACATATGTATATAAAAAACGCGAGGCACAAAATTGTATTTTGTTTTCACACAAGCCCTCAAACGATTCGGCCACTGATGAACAGTAGCACGCACAGTTTCTATTGCATTAACGGCTCTGCTCGAACCAAAGATTTTTTGATACTCTCCAAATTTCTGTGGGGTATTCGACAGACCACGTTCTCCAACTCTGACCATAAACTTCAGTTTAATGAATTCAAATCTGGACTTTCAGACGGCCAATCTTCTATAGCTATGTAACCAGAAATATTGCTTTTAAGCCACTTGCCACTTTTTTGTGTGGTTTCGGTAAATCTAATGCTCTCCATCGAAGAAAGTATTGCTTAACTGCTTTATCACGGCTTCTAAAACATCCTGCTTGTACACTTTTGTCTAAGTTGTACTCCCTTTTTTCACAGAAATTAAGAGATGTACCTCCTTTCCAGGTGACTCCCCACCAAGCTATTACAGCAACTAGATGGTGACCACGTTGACCCCTTGAAATAACATTTTTTGCGTCTTTGGAAGTTACTGCGTAGATTTTGTCATTTTGATTATTAAAAACTTCTTCAAAAGGGAAAATTTATTTATGTGTAATTTGCCAATTTGCTTCAAGCGCGTTGATAAAAGATGACCAGTTGACCGACGGTTGGCTTTGACGTGGACATCATCTCGAATAAGTCTCGACAGTGATCTAGTCGCTATATTCATTTCCCTGTACTGTAAATATAAACAAATATTCTCGAAATGTTGATTTTTTTGAGATGCTTATAAATTTCACTTGCGAAGTATTGTATTAAAGTTTCATATAAAGATCCACAATAGTATAAAATGCAAGTTTCTTTTCTTTGTTGGAAAAAACTAAGGTTCCTCTCGTATAAAGGATATAACAGCACGTTTCGGCATTGTGTAATAAGCTCATAAACATACAACAACAACATTTCCGCCACCAACGTGTAATAATTCTCGCAGCAGGTGTGAAAGCAACCTAATTCACCGTTATTTATGAAGCAATTGCCAAACCAAAACTGCTGGCACTTATATTACTGTTATTTTGTTTAGCATGTTTTTGAAGATTTGTGTGCTGGCTCGGAATGTGTCGTTAGTAATTTCTTCATTGACACGTTTGGGCATAATTTTTAAACGTTGAACTTAAGTGAGCGTGTAATTTCAATCCGCTAGTTCTCTGGACTATTATTATGATAATTATTGTCATCACTAGTTTTATGACTTGTTTTTCTTTTATTACTACTTTATTTGTGTCTTCTTGGAGTTGTGCTGGTTCTTTCACCTTTTCGAATTGCTGTAGTTTGTAAGAACGCTTTATGCGCATATTTATAGCTCTGGCTGTCTTCAGATTTATTGGTGACGGCTTTGACATTTGCATAAAACGCGGATAACACAATTCAAAATCACAGCAGCCATTTCGGGTTTGTGTTATAATTCATTGGAAAAGTTTTAGAAATGGTCGTCCCGGCTAGTGGGCTTGCTAGACAGCTGATATTCCATAATTGAAGGTATCTAAGAATATTCTAAGTACAGATAAAAACAGTTAGATCACTTGCCAGCAATTTCATTAAGATCAGTAAAATACCACTGGATTTCGAAAAATCGACCACATTTTTGAAAATAGTTTATAATAATAACAGAATACAATTCACAAAAATTGCGTTGTTCGGAGCTCGGATTCTGATAAAAAAATACCAAATGTATAAGTATGTAGGTTCAAACACATAATCCTGTTTCCCTTACGAGGCTCTGTTCCACAGACCCCTAACACGCAACGGGTCTCGACTTGATTTGATGGTACTTATTCCAACGTTCGCAAGAGTTAGTAAATTAAGATAGTTCCAAATGGTGTTGTACAACAAATTGTCGATTTGATGCATGCTTAATGTATAGAAGAAAACGATGGACCTTCTCTGCGTTTTAGAGCGGATAAAAATTTGTTTAGGAAACACTGAAACCTGAAAACGTCTTTAAAATTACCGCATTCTGAGCACAAAACACAAATGATGACTTCTAAACTAAAATTGACACAATTTCGAAACTTTGTGCACTTAAAGCCTTGTGGTTTATTTAACTTAGCAGTGCGTTTGGCTTAGTCACAGCAGGCAGAGCAGGTCAAATTAGTACAAACACTGACATATACATATGTAAGTCCGTCTTTGTTTGGTTGGAAAAAGTTTGTGCTGAAAAGCCATTCATATACCATGCTGGTATTTATGATTGTATGTCTTCACATGTGTATGCGTATGACTGTTGCCACAAAAGGTCTAACGGTCAGGCATTCAACCTAAGCGGCAACGATTTGCAAAACACACAGCACCGCCAAGCCACTAAGCTGCTGCTAAGCTTTAAGCGGTCACCAAAGCGTTAAGCAATACGCTAATGAGCGAGCAAATGAGTCGCCCGTGTGGGGTAATGCGTTTCGAAGGAGACGAAAAAAATACCGAAGACTAAGCTCAACTTAAAAAAGTTTGAAACGCAAATGACTTCTTTAAACTTTTTCGTTTCGAAAGCGCTGCTCAGCCTGTCGAATAGAATAAATAGAGAATACAAAGTGTTTCTAATTACAACAAAAACGGCGAATACTCGTGGCAACAGTAGCTTAGTAGCAAACAAGCAATATGTACATACAACATTTTTTTGCGCTGGCAATGAAATAAATACTACAAAAAACATTTAAAAAAACTAAAGTAAATAAAGTCAAATGTCCAATAATAAAATAAAGTTGTACTCATGGAAATTGGCTGCACAAGTTCGTGACGCAGTCAACAAAAACTAGTACTAACTTATACAAAAATGGCATTTATATACATACTTACATATGTACTGTATATATATAAGTATGTAAGTATGCCAGTGTCCAGCGATAGATGATGTAGTGTTTTGAAGTTATGCGAAATGTAAAAAAGTCTGCAGTTTCATACACAACTACATAGATATATGTATATATGTATATATACGTATGTGTGAATGTTGTAATGAAAAATTCTACACCAAAAGCCATAAATCTTTTAACTTCCATTTAACTAAGCAAATGGGCGACAATGCCAACGCGAACACAGCGCAAATGCGCAGTTCGCATTATGAAAAACTACGAGCACACGCACACCAACGTACATACCATGTTATGCTCATATTTAATAAACATACAAACATACATAAGCTAATCAGTGTTTTGAATATTAAAAATAAAAACTTAGAATTTAGTTAAAAACTTGAGTATGCTTTGTGGACATATCACATCGGTACTTGATTAACATGATGCAGCAAAAGAACACTCGGTTAATTGCTTTTTAACTTCCCGCTAAGAATATTGAAAATTTTCTAAAAATCGGGAATATATTGGATTCACCCCGTATGTCTGTATGTATGTGTGGATGTATGTGAACCTCTTATAACTTTTACACGGCTCAACCGATTTGAATAAACTAAACGGCATTCCAAAGGGTTTCGTTGCACTTGAATTACGTGTAAGTTTGGACCTAATCGAACCAGTAGATTTCGAGAAATCTCAAAAATCTCGTTTTTTTCGAATTTCTTCCAAACGACTTGATCGATCGACACCAACTAATCAGTTCTAAACCTTGAAAAAACACATCGTTTGCCGCAAACCGGGTCGAAATCGGTTGATTTACTTGCGAGATATCGAAAACAAAAAATTTAAAAACGAGACATCGTTAACGAAAGAAATCACCAAAATTTATTAGTTTTTGAGAAATTTGGGAAATAGTGTTATATTAAACTCCCATTAAACTTTTGAGCTCGAAGAGCTCTAAAGCAGTGAAAAAAGCGAAATTTGAACGTTGACGTATGAAATTAGCGGGAAGTTGCAGGGATGGCCCTTGAGGCCAACCGTTTTCCACATTTTTTGAATTGTAATACAAAAACTAAATGTAACTTAAGCAATATTTCTGTCCAAAGAATAAATTTAAAATGTAATGAAAAATAAATTAAACGAAAAAAAATGTTTCTACTTCATAATATTGTTATTAGTGCGCTTAACTTTTTACCAACTTTTCTCGAGTTGTAAGTTTCTGAACAATTCATTTAAAAAAGCCAATCAATCAATTGTAATCAATATGTAAGTTAATGGTCCATCGGAGTTACCCAATTTAAGTATTTTATTCTTTAATTTACAGAGCAGAAAACACGTGTTTACGAAACTTGGTAAAATTTGTCTAGTAAACCTGTTTAGAATAGGACTAACAACTCGGGACAATAAACAATTAATATAAAGTCGGTAGGAAATCAACTCTAAAGATATATCAGAGATAACAAATTAGGAAATAGGAAAAAACGTTCACTATGACTGTACCGAAGCTACATAGAAGTATATACCATATAATACGCCTCACAGAAATATTTTTTATAGCAACTAAATATAAAACTAAATTTGAAAATTTAACTGGCCAAATTGCTTCCTTTAAAACAAATTAAGGTTCAGAGTGGCAAACTCTTCATCGCATTTCTAGCAAGAAAAAATCTTCTTAAAAGCAATTTAACTCTTGTAGAATCAAAGCACATATGAAATACCATATTGGAGGAGAAGCCCGATCGAGCAAGGTACGACTGAAACTCGGGGGAGTATATATTTTTCTAATTTATAGTTCGGATCCAACAGCCCACTATAGAGTATTCAAAGAGTTCTCTAACAGTACTTTACAAAATCATATAGCCATGAGTATGTGTGATGGTGTTTCTAAAATAAAACACTGTGCCAAGACATGCGTGTCGGCATTCGTGCAGTTGTTTTAAGGTAAATGCGCGTGAGCGCGTGTTACTTCAATAAAATCGCTGTTTTTCATTTTATCCGAGTAATCATGATACATGGCTTTTTAATTAATGTAATTCAATAAAATAGTGAATATGTCAAAAAGCAAAAAAAGAAATATAAAAGCCAAAACAATTTCTTTGCAATTATTTATGTATTTAATTGTAAATTAATTCAAAACTAAAGACCGACTAATGAAAGTGAAGCAATAAATAATGAATTTGCATAGAAAAAAATGCGATATTAAATTTTATGCGCAGTGAAAATGAATTTGTGTACAAGGTTTAAAAGATAATATATGTACATAAAATCATGCTTGACATGTTTGTATATATACTTGTAGTTCAGTAAAACTGTTTGCGACAAAAACAACAATAAATCATAACACTAATTCGCAATAAAAAGCGTTAATAGCCGCAAAATGCAGGAGAGCTACGTTCGAAAACGGTGGCAATCTGGTAACAAGAAATCAATTATAATACAACAAGAATACACAATTATATTACAATAATAATAAGCTAATGCGTATTGTATTAATGAAAGTGCAGAAAGTGCAAAAACTACAATATAAACTTTAAAGCACCAAATTGAATGAAATTAACAAAAGTTACTACAACAACAGCAGCTGAAAAACGTGTAAGTATTTTACGTTTTTCTTTTTTTGCGTTTATGTACACTCACAAACGTAGCATTTGTTTGGTGGCACTCTACCAATCTATTTGAACTATTTGTGCAATCTTTCAATTTTATTTATAAGCTCTTGACAAATCGATTGTCTAATTCATAATTTATTCTTTACTAATTGAGTTTCGATAAGAATAGAATAAAGATCTCGATGTTATCAGTTTCTGGTGGAAAATTGAGGCCCCCCCACTAGTGTTCTTACTTGTTAGTGATTGGGAGAAATCTGCTCATATCTTCGTCTAGATCATCCACGCCCAATATTGTGATTACCGTCTTACGACCACTTTGACTCCGTACACAAATGCCGGCTTATGTGAAAATTTCACAAAATAAGATGGGTACGCTCGACCTGATATTATGTTTTGTACTAAAAGTGGAAAAATATTATTCGGTTCCTCTTCAACCAGAATCGTTTTACTGTTTCGCATAGAGAACCGCGAGCCTACTATTACCAAAATTTGGTGGATTCCAAAAATTAAAAAAAAAAAATTACCATTATCAAGCTTTAGTAGATTCCCGAAACTAAAAAAAATCACGTTATAAAAAACGTGCATTCCTGCCACAGGATGATCGGCAACAGTACAGAATAGTATTTGTTAATTTCGTTACTGTTTATAATCTCCTCAGAGACTCAGTTTCTCACAGTGCAATCACTCTAAGTAAGTGCACAGGCAGACACAAAAGCTTTGTAAGCGCTCAACGAAACAGTGGCGGCAAGGTAGATAACAACGACGGCGGCGACCATGGCTGCTGTGGCTCTGTGCACAAATGCGTGTGCGCAGAATTTTAAATGAATTCATGCTTTCACGCGTCCAGCGTCCAGTAATGGCGACACAACCAACAGACTGTTTTGTTGTTGCTGGCTGCTTTATGCGCAACCATGACCATCCAGCGACGACAGTGACAGTGGCAACGACAACGACAATTGGTCACAAAGTTGTCGCCACCTCACAAGCATGTGGACGCGATGAAGCACGCTCGCTCCAATGCCATGTTTGCCGCTTGTCTTACGCTGTCTAGCTGTCGGCGCGCGGCATTTGTCTTATCTAGCTACCGCAAGTGTCGGCGCGGCGTTGGCGTTGCGGCTGCGACGACAGGCGCTGGCATTGCCGCTGTCGTGTTGGTGGTCGCCGTCGTATTTTTCCAACTAAATTTAATTTCTATTCAATTTCTTGGCCATATAAGCGCACGCACACTCGCACACACTCACATATATGTGTATATATGTGTTGATTTCTATGTGCCGCGCATGGCTCCAGAAATGGTCTGCTGCCGCTGCATGCATATTCTAGTAGCGGCAAATTGTCTTGGACTCTTCAGCGTCTTGCAGTGCGTCGCATTTGCAGCTTCGCCGTTGCTCTGTCCTTAGCTTAGCGTTTTTTCTGCTGCGATCATTATGTACTTGACTTTTATGAATTTTTACTTTCGCTTGGAAAAGGATTTTTTGCTCCTTTTAACGCTGTGTTTATTTGCGTATTCGCAAGGCATTTATTTATACGATTTACTTATTCAGCTGATGTGTGCGCGGTGAAGGAGCGCTGAACGGGGGATGCATATTATGTGCCTGACTTGCATGCTTATCAGTTAGACGGCGCGCATACACACACACACATATGCACGCGCTCGCATGAAGGAAAATTAATTTTCACATTAAACGCTCTGTTGACATACGCAAGTGTATTTGCTGTAGTTGTTGTTGTTTTTATGTTTTTTATATGTTGGTGTATTTTTTCTGCATTTCTGCAGAATTTTAATGCCGTACGGCGCACATGCTTATCCTCTTGCACCAGCTGGTTGGCTCAGAGCTCCAGCGCCGCCTCCACAGCTACCACCGCAACCCCCACCATAACCCCGCAGCGTCTTCGGTGCGTCGCTTCATCCATTGCACCACCTCCGCAGACTAGGGAGTGGCAGCCGCTGTTTGTTTGCTGACTGTTTGACGCAATCGCTACTCGCTCCTACTTGTGGCAGACATTTCTGCAGGTTTTTCGTAAGTTATGCATAAGTAGTTTGCATTTTTGTTTGCTCAATTCTTTGATTTTTGTTCATTCTCTGGCCACGGCTTCTTTTTCTTGCAATTTTTTTTTTTTGTTGTACAACTTGGCCGTCGCGCCGCTGGCAGTTAGTAATTTTTTCGCGCGGTGCGTCAATGAATTTTGATTGCTCAATGCATTGCGAATGCCGCATGGCAAATTTGTGGCTGTTTGTTTGCCTAACTTGTTTCGCCAGCCACTTCTTGGTCTTTAAACTTCTTGCTTTTCATCTACTATTTACCCTGCACATTATTTGATTAATTTCCACGCTCTTGCATTATTCTGCATATAAATCAAGCAATTTTGCTGAGTTTCACTTCAAGGGTCCAGTTGCTTGACACTTTGGCACTCACATACACACACTCACACACAACATACTTTGTTGCTACCCACATAAAGGCTTGTTAATATTATATTATATCTGTGTATGTGTTAGACTGTCTGTGTCTGAGTTAAAGTGTTTTTTCTACTTGTCGCTGCTTGCTTGCAGTTTACGGTAATTGAAGTTGTCAAATTGTTGCATAATAAGTCAATCACTCGTGCTGGAGGCGTGCGTTTTTTGTTTATTACTTAAAATTAATTAAAATGTCACATCTGTTGTTGCAGAATATGGGTCATGGAAGTTAATGATGTGATTTTTCACAAAAAAGCTGAGTTAAATCTGTGTCCATCGTTTGAAATAGAAGAGTTGTCAGCCTGCTTGATGTCGACAAAATAAATTAGTATAACTTCTAAAAAAACTTTTTTTCTTTTAACTTTGATGCAATGCATAGAAACTTCAGATGAGATTTTTTATAAAACTTAATTGTTTTTATAATTTTACAAGTTTCCGGAATACTTAAAATTACTAAATTTAAGTTAGTTTTTATTTTTTAGTGAGTTTTATAGAAAGAACTTTAGAAAAGTGTCTTAAGTAATTATTTTTATCGTGCAAAGTCAGATTATTTGTTAATATCTGTATTGTTGTCTTTCAAATTATTTATGATCGCTCCCGACAACTGTATATCCCCATATTTCGTATTCTGTTAGTTGTGCGAATATCAATAACCTATTAAATAAAAAAATACTTTGACTTCTAGAAAAAATGTTTTCTTACGGAAGGTGTAAAAGAGACAAGCTCCTTGGATGCTTAGCTTAGTAAAAACCCAGGGGACAAAAATTAACTCTATTGCTATCTTTTCAATTTTAAATCCGAAACCACCATAACATTTCTTATTCTCTCTTCCCCATACTACCAATTCATAAGCATCGTTCACAGCCTCGGTTAATTCAGAAGGCATGGCGTTAGATATTGTTAGCACACCGATCTTAAATTCACGGAAGTTGGGAAAAATTGGGTTGGATTGGATTGGGAAATAAATCAAAAAGTATTCAATATTCTAACGTGATCATTTCTGGTAGAAATAAATGGTAAATAAGTGATGATTTCTCATATCCAAAAACTCACAGAACATTTTAGTAAAAATTGTATAAAAGTTCTTCACCGAAACTGTGTGTTTTTAACTTTTATAAGATATGTATAGTCTTATTTTCCTGCTTAGTGCAGTGCTTACTGTATTTTAGTTAGAAATCAAAACCATTTTAAAGAACATGTGAGCTAGTAGTGGAATTTTTAGTATTCCGACCATTTCCAAGTCACAAAAATCTCTATATTTCGATAATCATAAATGGTTATAATGAATATACGAGTATCGTAGTTGTGTCACCAACACCTTCGAGTTCTTGTTAAGGAATAATATTATATTTCTCAGGAATTTTGAAGAACTGGAAACAGTTGGTCTAAAATACCAAAACATTGTTTGCCTCGCCCTTGAGTCTCTGCTCCCACTAGTAAAATATAAGGGAGATATTTCCATTTATAAGATTTTTAAGAGATGGTTACAGCGGAATTCGATTTCAGTTAATAAGAAAGTTGGCTGGCCAAACGTTTAAAGCTTTCAAAATCTTGGGTACAAGAGTGCATATCATCTCAACTCGTCCATATAACCACTAAAACGATCTGTCGATTATTTTTTTTTTCTAATAACATTATGTAATATTATTTCAATGTCAAATTGAGATGTAAACAAAAAACATTTTGGTCTTTCAACTGTGTGGGATTTCATTCCGAGCGCCTCTGTTGTCATTATATAAGAATACTGTTATCTTTTGTATACCGATAAGTGCCGCTGCTTCATTGGAGCGTTGCTCAAGATATTTATTCGCTAAATTTGGCAGCGCGTTAAGCATTATTTGCCAAAAGTCAACAATCTCTTTTCTCATAATCCAAAGGCTATGTTTTTGTTTTTATGCAAATTTATGGTGTAAACACATAAATGAAGTGAGTGAATGGGCTCCTCCATCGATTTGCATAATTTCCTTATAGCCGTAACATTAAAATTTAGCGCACAATGCTTGGATTGTGTGTGTATTTCCTGTTCAAACTGAAGTTGAATAAAAGCTTTCTTTAAAGCTAGTGAACTGAAGCGAATATCGAAAATTTAATAGTTATCAAAAGAGTGTGTGTGTGCGTTGGCAGAAAATAAACACGAACGGGATGTAATCGTGTATCGGAGACTGAGAAAGAAAACTTTGTTGGCAGAGCCGCTTAATTGGATCCCTACGTTTTGATTACATACTTTGGGTCATATGTTTCCCGAGTACATCTCCAGCATCAGCTTCATGAATTAAAGCACAACCAGGGCATTTATTGTAGGGAAAAGTTGCTGGGATTTTTAAAAATATAAGAATAACTTTTAAAAAGGCTTTTATTTTTCTATTTTTTTGAGATATTAAAGAAGCCTTCAACTGAAGCTCTTAACATGACAATTTTAAATTCTTGGCCAACAGTTTGAACGAAAGACTCACACGCACCAACGTGCAAAGTATAATTAAAAAATTGTCAGCCAGCAGGTAACGGCAGTTCATATTTACACTTTG